CGCCTCCTTGGGTCTGTCCCAGCAGAAATCGCTCCCCAGGGGAGGGAGCTGTAACTTTGCAATGTTGCAAACTAGTTTGTTTCCCCCATAAGAAAAAAAAAACCTTTCAGTTTGGTTGTCTCATCTGTGCCTTAAGTACCCCAGACCCCTTCTTGGGTATGGTCTTTCTTTCTTTCTTTCTTGCACAGTGCTTTACATCTGTTTATACTGGACTCAGCGCAGAAACGTTACTCTGAGGTCAACAGACAAGTTTGAGCAGATTTGATAGCGACCATTTAGGAGGAGTTTGTGCCCTGTGTAAGGTGTCATGATGCAAATTTCAAGAGACTCAATAAAATGCATGAAGTGATCATTTTGTGCTCGATCCTCACTCCTTGGGCTTATTCTTGTTACAGTGGGAATATGTTGGAGTCATTGTGAGGAATGTGATAGGAACTGACTTCACCGGGCTGCCTCCCCGCTTGGGGCTGGGTGGAAGGAACTGGCCTCGTGTCTAGCTAAGTTGCCAGGAGAACTGGTTGCTCCTCATTTTGTACCAGACTTCTGCACATCTGTCAGTAGGCAATATGGGATGCAGTAGGCAATATGGGATGCCAGCATTCCTACGTTGTCCTTCAAGTAGCAGCTGTGGTCACTAGGACCCAGGGCTCCGACTTTGGTGCTGCAAACCCCGGGAGCGCTCCGCACTCGTCGTGCTAGCTGTGGCTTTCGTAAGCTCTTCCAGGTGACTAAAAGCTTCGTCCTAAAATCAGTATCTGCTCTATGTGCACACACTTACTGAGGGGGAAGGACATTTTCTAGGGTGTGGGAGGCTGTGTTTGTTAGCGGTGTTTCCCTCATCTCGATGCTGTCCCTTGTACAAGAAGTTGTGGCTGGGCCCTGGGAGAGGGGGGGAGAATCGGGAGGAAAAAGCAATATGGGATGCCAGCATTCCTACGTTGTCCTTCAAGTAGCAGCTGTGGTCACTAGGACCCAGGGCTCCGACTTTGGTGCTGCAAACCCCGGGAACGCTCCACACTTGTCGTGCTAGCTGTGGCTTTCGTAAACTCTCGCAGGTGACTAAAAGCTTCATCCTAAAATCAGTATCTGCTCTATGTCCACACACTTACTGAGGGGGAAGGACATTTTCTAGGGTGTGGGAGGCCGTGTTTGTTAGCGGTGTTTCCCTCATCTCGATGCTGTCCCTTGTACAAGAAGTTGTGGCTGGTCCTTGAGAGAGGCGTGAAGACTCGGAAGCAAAAGTGGGATGGAGCGTCTGGAGACATGGGGTGCTCCTCGGTCTGCATGTGCCAGAGGTGTCTTGCAGTACCCATTCTCATAGGCTTCATTTTGAGCTCGGTGATTTGTCAGGCCAACGGTTACTCGACCAGTTCAAACTAAAATTCAGTCTTTAACACAGGCCTTAACTTTCCTTTCAATGTCTCCATGGAAGAAGACTTCTCCAGCAGAAGCTCTTTGCCAGCTCACTGGCTTCAGCCCTGCACCTCCCTGTAGGAAAAAGTCGTCTGGCATCTCTGTTCTTCTGTTTCAGCCTTAACAACTATAATTGCCTGACCCCCAGATTGCTTAAAAGTCCAAGGACACCTTGGAGCACTGGGAGAGTGCTAACTCCATCCTGATGTTGGTGAGAGCTTTCTTCTGGCCTGCAAAGCTTTGTATCGCTCAGGCCCTCCCTCTCCCTGCTTAAATGCTGTAACCTCTCGTGTTGTCCTGTGCCTCCCTATGGAGCACTCTTCTGAGGAAGAGCAGTCCTGGTGCTGGGGGAAAAGGCTGTGGCAAAATACAGGTGGAGGAACTGGAGGGATGGAGGTCGAGGAATGATCATTCAGTGACAGGAAAGATTCTGTCTGCAAAATTAATTCTCAATGTCCAGAGTGCAAATGGCTTCGCTATATCCCTACTCACACACCAGAAGAGGAGCCAGATGTAGCTTGGAAAGAGCCGGATCGTTATTATTTTGTGGAATGGCCCACGTTCAGCGACCATCCCGCTGCCCGCTGAGCACAGCAAGCGGAGAGGGCCTGGCGGGATCTATTGCAGCCGTTTCTCAGGGGGATTTACCATCTGGAAACACTGTGCCGGGGAGAAGGCAAATGCTACTGAGTTGCCAGGGGTCCTTCCCAGCTGCTTCACATGCGATTGACCCCATTGAGGGACTTTCAGTGCGACAGACCCAAATGCAGCTCTGAGGCAGTAAGTGGTGTTTGCAGGAGGTCAAAATCCTGGGGCTCCTGCTGGGAGCAGCGCAGTCCTTCTCCATGGCTCTGCCCACTGCCTGCTGCAGAGCGACTGCTGCTCTGGAAACTGCGCAGAGCCACCCAGGTCCCTTGTGGCCGCCCCGTCCTTGCTGCTCCCGGAGGCTCCGGGCGTTCAGGGACCCGTGGGGTTGGCTGCCTCTCCGGCGAGGCCACGGCTTCCCGAAGGCCCCGATTCCCTCGGGAGCGCCTGGCCCTCACTGCAGCGCCCTGGCTCTCACTCGCTGCGATGGCCCCAGCAAAGGGCTGCACGGCCGGAGGGGGACACGGGCACGGCCGGCCTGTCCCTCCATCCCTCCTCGTGGCCAGAGCCAGCTGGGAGCTGGCAAGGAGGAGGAAGAGGAGGAGGAAGAGGAAGGATGTTTTCCACGCTTTGCCCAGCACCAGCAGCCGCCTTCCAGCTGCAAGGCAGGAGGTTGTGCTGGGTAAGGTTGGCTATTATTGTAAATTATATTTATATGTATCATTTTAATGTATATTTTGTATATGAAATACAAGCTGTTTAGATATACATATATATATGCAAACTTTATAAACATAGAATAATATATAAAGCTATCATGTCTATTTAGATATCTAGTTCTATATAGATAATATATAATACAGATCTACTAAACATACTAAATAGATGTAGATATATCTGCTATCTACATACTACATAGTGTGTATGTGTGTGTATATATATATACACACACTATATAGAGACGCTCTATAGATATATTCTAGATATCTCCCAGGTATATACTATATATTTCTCTCTCTTTTGGAATATGTAGAGCTATATTAGACATATAGCTTGAATTAATAACTAACTGTATTAATAAATACATATCTTTATAGCTAGGTCTACATGTAATTATAGATATATCTCATTTTCATGTATATCTAAAGTATGATGTAATTTTTAACAATGTATGCTAATACATATTTGCATATGTTTATTATTTAACATATAGACTTATACACCTTAAGTGTATCAGTCACTTATGCATACACCTTACATTTTTTTAGGTGTGAATGTAAACTATTGATCTAATATATACTGTACTATAGATCTAATATATAGTATGTGTATATACCATGCATATACTTATACCATGTATAAAGGCATATATAAACTGTATCTTATTACGTCATATATATAAGTACTAGCTTATATTTGATACCTAATGTATAAAATACATTATTGTAAGCTCTAGGTGTTAATGTAAACCAGGTGTTTGCATTAATAGGGCAACACTTTTTATTGTATAATAAAATGATGCTTTGGCGGCTGCGCGCGAGCCCCGTGGCCGCCTCTGGGGTGCTGAGAACTGTGGAGGTTGTGACAGGTGAGGCAGGGGCGCCTGGCACAGCACTCCTGTATGGGGAGTGCGTGTGGAAACTTCAATAGCTCTGCCTGAATTTATGGCAAAATACTTGGCTGTTGCATTATGGTTGCAATAAGAGCATCCTGATGGGTCTGGTTCGGCCTCCTCTATTTCAGTTCTTTATATAGATCTGAAATGATGTGTTTTTCTTTCAGAAATTTTCATCTTTCCACGCAGCCTTTCCCCTTCCCGAGCACCAAGCAATCTGTACCTAGTCCAAGGCGAAGGCTTCGTATGAGCCTTTGGCCCAACTCTGCTGCCTCTTGCACCGCGACCTGCGCAAGAGCGGGGAGCTCGGACAGGATAGACACAGCACCGCCCTCCATCTTTTACAACTGGATTTATTCTACAGGGCTCTTAAACAACATTCAGAAACATTTACAAAAATGTGCTATAGTGTTTCTTTCTTTCTTTCTTTTTTTTTTTTTAATATACCAAGACTCGGAAGTTCACATTCTGAAAGGACAGGCGTACTTTTAAGACACACACGCAAATACTTGTAACTTCCAAATACAAAATTTTAAGGGCATATTGAGTTAAAAGCAGACTTAAAAAAAAAGAAAAAGAAAAAAAGGCAGGGGTGCACAGCTGCCAAGGGCACTCGGGCTCTCTCCTGGGTGCTACCAGGTGGCGAGAGCCGCGAAATCCAGCCCAGACTCGGGCAGAGTGATTCCCACCGAGGATATGGTGCCCCTTGGGCTCAATGGGCGAAACGAGATACGCTGGGAGAGTTCAGCATTGCACCTATCTGATGCAGCCTGATTTAATGTGCCCAGCAGCCCCCTAGAAATCGAAGGGGCTCGGGCTTCTAGAAGCTCCCTTGCAGGAGCAGAACTAACGGTTGGAATCAGATGTTCGCAGTTGCATCCTGGAGGATGCTAGAAATGCCACTGAAAAGACCTGGGGATTTAAAATCTGGTCAGCTGGGAGCAATGAAAAGAAAACAAAGGCACTGAAGCCATGCAAAAACTGAAGCCATGCCAGGGACCAAACCACCGTATACACCACGATGAGAAACATACACAAAGCTTCGCGCCTCAGCAAAACCAGCACTCGTGTGAGTCTCGCACGCGCCGAGCCCTCCAGCTTTTAATTGTGGCGGCGATCAGGACGTGGGCCTTCCCACAGCTCCTGCCCAGGGTAATTTTAGACCGTTAAGTCAAGAGTTTGTGAAAGTGGAGGCACAGCCTTCAAAACACGCCCGGGCCCAAGAGCTCAGCGTGAAGCACTCCGCGATGGCCCCGTTCCACAGTGCCCACATGCTCCATCCGCGGTGGCTTAGGAGCTGCGCACTCCCTCCTGCTGCAGAGCAGCAGGGGTTAAACACGGTGCCTCGGTCTGCAGCAGCAAGCATGCAAAAAAAGAAGAAAAAAAAAAGAAAAAAAAAAGACAACGGTGCGGTTTTGAATACCCGGGAGCTAAGGATTTGGAGCAGTGACGGCAGCCAAGTGCAGCCACGCGAGCTGCTGGGACACGTCTGCTCTCGGCGTGGTGCCTTTGCCTGCAGCTGAGCTGATCTCCCCCTGAGGATGGCCTTGAAGTCAGATAGATCATTTGAAGCGCTTCATGGATTTGAGGTGTGATGAACCCACCCCAGTTATCCAAGGCAGCTACAATATAAAATATTTCTTCCTGGGACTGTGGTCGTTGCTGGTATGTAGTGGATAGTACAATAAATAGGCAGCCCCTGGAATTCCAGGGAGACAATGCCAAGAAGGGGCTGGACACAGCACTGCACGATGCACCCGTGCTCTCCAATACAGACAAAAAGGGGATAAGGGGCATGCGGGATCCTATGTACAACCCGCGGGCAGTGCGGATTTTGGGAATAAAGTTCCGCTTGGCGCCATGAACCACCACAGCTGCCCGCGTCCCCCTGCCGCTCCCGATTTGCAATGAGCGGGATCCACATGGGGAAAAGCAAGACAAGGTGTGGGCTCCGGCCCTGGTGAGGGCCCGCTCGTCCTTAAGAGCGCGCTGACAGCTGCAGCGCGTTTCGTGGTGCGTGCCGGCGCGCGTGGGACGGCAGCGGAAAAGCAGGAGATACAAAGATTACAGCGTGACCTGCTGAGATGTTATTCGCTTTTGTGCCGGGCTAGAGCGGCGTTTGCTCCTTGGAAGCGCCTGCCTTCGGCATCTCCTCTGGAGCTGCGCTGGGGATGGACCGGCTCGCTCAGCTGGGACCCGCAAGGGACGTGGAGGGTGCAGGCCGGACACCCGGGAGGTCAACGCGCCCTGCCTGCCAACGGCTTTAAAAAGGTGTTTGTCAGCTGTAAACCTCTGTTGTGACACATAGAAAACTGGGAGAAGGACGAGGTGCTCGATCAATGTTGAATCTTGGTGAGAGCTCTCCATAGAAAAAACAGTTAGAGGAAAAAAAATGAGGCTTTGAAATCAAAATTGCCCCGAATAAAAGCATTTCTGCTAGTTAAGAGCATTTAACTAGAAGATTTTTTTTTTCCTTTACAAACATAGTGCATCAGCAATCATTGAGAATTACAGTCTGTTTAGAAAAGGGGCCTGTGCTTAGGCTATCAAGAAGATGCTGGTGGCAATAGTGTATCTAGGTGTGCGTGTGTCAGAGTGGCGGCCCGGGCGGGCCTAGATGTGCGCTTCGGAGGCCGGGCAGCCCGGGAGCAGCTCTCCGTTCATGACCGTCTCTGAAACCAGCATCTTGTCTTTGCCCGAATCCAGCCGCTGCTTCTTGAGCATCCTCTGATGAACCAGGGGCACGATGGCTAGCACCAAGGCTCCGATGATGGGGGGAACTCCAGCAAAATAGAAGGCAATGTGGTAATTCCCAAAATGGTCTTTGAGGTATCCTGAAAGAGAAGAGCAACACTGGTTACAGCCACCTCAGTCTAACCACCAGCTTGTCTCCTGTGTCAAGTGAGGACCTCAGCTCTCCAGCTCTGCTCACCAGACTTGGGGAGACTTGGTTTTTAAACCATTGCTGTTCCAGTCTTCTCCTTTGGGCTCCCCGGTTTAACAGACAAGGGCAGACCCTGTGTTGTGGCCAGGGCAGAGCAAAACCAGGCATATTTTGCACAATCCTGTAAGCAGGTTGTGATAGTGCCAGGAAATTGAATGTTTTGGGTGGCACTTCTGAGAGCTGTGACAGGCACCAGGTGCTTAGGACAAGAGGACATGAGCTGCTCCTGAGTCCAGGCACACTTTGTCCATTTTGGGGCATAATAGGAAAAATATGTGCTGCTTATTACAGACTATAACAGAGCCCTTGAAAACCAATACACTCTGCACTTACTAGTTCAGCAAGTTCTCACATGGCATGGCATCTGTGGG